GTTCAGCTGGTGTCTTGGCTTTCCATGCCTTTTTACACCTCCCTTTCTTCATGTGTTCAATACTTTTTTCCCCATGCCATGGATCACTTGGGTTGTTACTGACATCTGGTGAAAATTTCATGTCATTAGCACCTCTAGTAATATATTTACTGAGAAAAATGGTGACGTGTTCAATACTTATTTTACCCGCTGTACATACATTAACCCTTTCCAGGAATATGGGCAGAAGAGTTGTTTCTTTGCTGCTCATGTCTTTCTGTCTTTGTGTTAACTTTGTTTTTCATCCCTGGTCCTCACGGCACAGTGCCCTGCATGTTTTAGAAGTCTCCCTGCTTTGACACACCTGCTTCAGGTGACTGCAGTTCATCAAAAGCCTGCTAATTAGTTACCAACTGAAAGCAGCTGTGTTGAAGCAGGGCCTTGAGGACCAGGGTTGAGAACCACTGGTTTAATGCACCTGGCTGATAAGTGATACTATTTTTGAAGGAGTGGTGGACTTAATTTTGCAGGCAACACTTCTGCCTTTGGCTCATTTGTTGTTAAACGCCATTGTTTCCCCTCCATGTCAAGTCTTACCTGTAAATCTGGTGGGATGTTAATTATTGACACATTCTTCACGTCTTCAACCTGTCCTCGTCTGTCAGCCTTGTTTGGGTCTGAGTCCATCATCTTTCTACAACAGCATGGAAATAAAGCATTTTCAATGCAGGAATAGCTGTAAGATGAAGGTTGTAAAGCAGTAAACTAAACGTGGTCAAAGAATTAACGTTAAAATATTTCAATTTAACCTTTTTCGCCAAGTAGTCTGCATCATTAGCTTCACTAAAAAAGGTCTCGATGTGTGCTTTTGTCATGTATCGCGAAACGCATCGGTTCGTTAGCATTTGATAATACCAGCTTAAGTCTTCGGAACTTAGAAAATGTCTTCAAACACTAAAGGTAAACGTAAATCTGTCATAAAGCTGGTGAAGAGGTTAGAAACTAAGACTACCTGTCTGCACCTGTCAACGGCTAAAACAGAAAATCATTAAAGGACATTAAAGTTTCTGAAAAAGGAAAGTGCGTTTATATTTTCTGCTCGGACACGAAGCTTAAAAACTTACCTTGGGGCTCAAACCGTGTGAAACATCACGAAACGAGAGGGGAACGTGTTTATTTCTCTTGTGCTAACTTAGCCTGGCTTAGCTAAAACACAACAGAGTCCCGGTCTGTGTTTGAAACGGACCAATCAGGTTGAAGAAAAAGCTACGCATGCGTGTTCGATCTGAGGCGTTCATGAACAGTCGGAATTTAAACAACTGCAACAAATGGCATTGATGTGGAAAAACAGTGATAAATTCATTGTGTTCATATATATCTTTTTGTATTTCCATGTCTATTTTGTAGTTTTACACAGTGCAATAAAAGCTTCTTACGGTGTTGTGGTTTTCCAAAGATGTATTAAAAATTAATAAACAAAACAACAGGTCCCAATACTTTTACTCAAGTACCATTTTGTATTTTATACAGCATATATTTATAAAAGAAATAACTATTTAATTTTAAGTTTTTTTATTTAGTCATTTTTTAATATTTATTTCTTTCTCTTTTGTGTTCATAATCTTTTGAAATTGTTTATTATTTGTATTCTGTTGCACTTTTATTACACTGGCCACTTGGCAGTACACATAAATAAGATAGAACAATGATATATTTAGTTTTTGGCTATGCTCTTTTTACTTCATAGTGCTAATTTTAGCTTCTTCTCTCTGTTTTTTTGTCTAATTTCAGCTTTTTTCTGCTATTTCAGCTAAAATTCTACTCCTTTCTGATCATTTCAGCTGTTTGCTGCAATTTTATTTAATGATTAGCTGATAATATCTAAAATTATTGTTTTTCAAGATAAATACACATTTTGGGGGCAATTTTAGCATTTTGTGCTTAATTCTTCAAATGTGCTTCTTCTACTTCTTTGTGCTAATTTCAGCATTTTTAGCTACATTTTAGCTGCTTACTGCATATGTTAACTCTTTCAGCTGTTGTACAATATATTGTCATTTTTTTGTACTTTCATTTATTTATTTTTTGCTAATTTGACGTTTTTTACACCACAAACTGTGGAAGCCCATTTCCGCCACCCTGATAAAAATAAATAAATAAAACTTGTATCTCATAATTATGACTTAGCTATCTCATAATTATGAGATAGCTAAGTCATAATTATGAGATACTATCTCATAATAATGAGATAGTATCTCATAATAATGAGATAGTAATGAGATAGTATCTCATAATAATGAGATAGTAATGAGATAGTATCTCATAATTATGAGATACAAGTTTTATTTTTTTATCAGGGTGGCAGAAATGGGCTTCCATAACAAACACTGTAATACATTCAACTTATTTCTGCAACATTTACCTGCTAATTTTAGCCTTTTGCTGCTATTTCAGATATATTTCTGCTCCTTCCTGCTATTTCTTTGCTAATTTCTACTTTTTGAGCTTTGTTCTGTTTCTTACAAGTAGTTTAAATTTTATATACTTCTTTCAGTTGCATTCTGCTAATTTCAGCTACTTTCTGTTTTAGCTATTTTACAGCAAATTGCCACATTTTTGAACTTGTTTTCTTTATGCTGATTTGAAGTCTTTTAGACTCCCTCCACCATCTGTGTGGTAATTTCAACTTGTATCTGCTACGTTTAGCTTTCTTTTGCTAGTTTTAACTACTAATAGCCTTAAAACCTAAAAACTTTTCTTTGTTACTACACTGTTATCTCTTCAGACATGCCTGTTTTTAAGATTTATCAGATATATAAAAACATGAATTCATTGGATTACTACTAGCCTTGTTCAGCTGCTTATTTACTAATTTCATCAATTTCATTTTTCTGATATTTCAGATATAAATTAACAGAGCCCGTCTGGTGACACTGGAGAAATAAAATGATTGCATGCCCACGCCATAATGTGTGGTCATGCGTTATTGCGGGCCCATGACTTAATAATGCGTACAACACGATACTTATGTCATGGCCACGTTATTTGGTCATGTGATCTTTTTTTTAATCCCATGTCACAAGATGGGCTTCGCATAATTCAGCAGCTTTCTTCTATTCCTATAAAATGTAATTTTTGTGCTTCTTGTAGCTTCTTTCTGCTAATTCAGGCTTTTTATGCTTCTTTTGCATTTAAATTTGCATTAAACTTTAGCTTTTTCAGCTTTTTAACAATAAGCATTTTTACATCTACACAAGAGTTTTTATTACATTCTTGTCATCATTTTATTTAATCGCTTATTTATTCTTATATTTTTACTTTTTTGCTGTTTCAATCCTCCATGTCTACTACGCTGGACAAAATACTTCCACACTGTCCTTTAAAAACACTTTTACTGATTAATTACATGTTAGAAAACATTTATACTTGTTGTTCAACCATAAACATTCATTCAGCCATCAGTGGCGTTTCAGTTTCTTTACACGCACACTGTCTTCCTTATATAAACATAAACCTAATAACTAGAAAAAAGTTCAAAAGAGGTCAAACTCAGATTCTGGAAAGAATATTTGAACAACTTAAATGTTGCTGCAGAATTCAAAATTGAGCAGAATGATGTAAATTTGCAGCATAAATGAAAGTGAAGATTTTTCTCATTCTGAAGCATAAACTTACATTGACCCATCTTAATTCGTCGTCCAATCTCACATAAAACCAATGAATCTGGTTAAAACTAAAATGTGTGACTTTAGCACACATTAGCCATAAAAAAGACCTTCTTCATTTCAAACTTACCTCAAGTCATACTAAAGATTTTCACTATTGAAAAGCCCTTGAAAAGTTTCTTATCAAAGCAGTTTTTACCTGTTAGTGAGTAAGAATGCCATAAAAACAAACATAACAACACAAAACAGTCAGTCTTTAAGGGTTTGCTACTGAAACAAATCAATCAAGCACAATAAATCTGTCAACGAGAACACATCTTATCAATAAATAAATAAGTCACCTTCCAGATGCATTAATGCTGATTTCAACTCAGCTTAAAGTAAAAATTAAAATTATATTGTCCAGCAATATTTCACAAACAACAAACCCATTAGACCTAAAGGTCATAAAGGTCAAAACATCCTGATTAGACTTCACATTACTGAGCAAACGTCCCGAGGTTAAGCTCTTAGAACTCAACCAACAACCTGCATGTAAAAAACTATCATCCTGATGGGCTGTAAAATTAAATAAAATCCATAATTTCTTCAGATAATCCCAGGAGAATGTGGTTGAGGGCTCATCTTCAGTGGTCGAGCTTCTCCTCACTGAGGTTGAACAGGAGGCTTTTGGCTCCGTTCTGCCATGAATACAACGTCTCCAGTGGAGTTTTTCCATCCTGGACAAAACAGAGCAAAACCAGACTGAATGAAGATAATGTTTCCTCAGACAAACGTTTGGATCAGAGAAGGATCTAAAAGAGCTGGAGGATTTAGACGAGTTCAGGAGGAGACTAACAACAAAATGAGATGACTGAAACAACTTGATGCAAAAGGAATTAATAAAGCGTCCTGACAATGGACATAGTGGATATACACTTTCATTTCATTCATGACTTGCTTTTGATGTCATGGTTTGTCATTTTATGCCTTGGTTTTTCCTAGTGTTTCTATGTTCCTCTGTGTGTCTCTGCTCAGCTGCCCCACATCACGCTGCTGATTACCCTTGTGTTTCTCCCCAGGTGTTTTCTGTTCCCTCATTAGTTTTCTGTGTATTTAAGCTCAGTTTTGTCTCTGTCTCATTGTCAGATCATTGTTCTGTCTACCTGGTTGTGTCCTGTTCCATGTTCTTTGTCTACTTCCAAGTCAAGTGAGTTTCTGCTGTATTATCAGCCTCTTTGAGTTTTCATTAAAGGCCTCATTTGATTTTTGAAACTTGCCTGTGCCCTGGGTTATTTTGTTGTTCCTGACAGTTTTGTTTTTATTGTTTATAGATTTTATTTTGTTTTAATGAATGAATAATTAAATTAAATAGATTAACTGAAAGCTGCTCTACAACGTTTATAAGGCCGCTGCAGACTGTACACTGTCATGAAATGGACACCAAGACAAGTTGGGCGGAGGAGAAGCTTTGCTGTCCAATTTTTTTTCACCAGTCACCTATTGGGGAAAAAAAATCTCCAACACTTTAAAGTTAAAATCAGGACCAAAATGTTCAAATGCTACAAGATTTCTGAAAGAGGCCAAGATGAGATGAATCTGTTGAACAGAAAAGGATCTGCTGAGTCACTGGCTGCAAAGACTCAGACTTTTTCTCGAGGGCAGAGAGGGGAGGGGCTTCAAACAATAAACAATAATAGAAACTGGGCCTCCAACAAACAATGGTCAGACCCTCTGACCACCATCAGTAGAAAAGTAAAGTGTCTTGGGCCTCATGCAAGAACATGTCCGTATTTTTATCCTAAATTTCTCTTACTTTTGTTCGTACAAAGGGTTCGTACGAACATGTCACGTCAGATTCAACAAACACTATCTTCAGGAAAAGTGTGTAAATGAGCTGCKTAAATTACACCTGTTCGTATCCAGCTGCTCGTGCACGCGAGAGGAGATTAGCATAATTACCACCCCAAAAACACCATATAAGGCTATGTTTCCTGCCTCAGATACAAGGAAGTGTCCATTCATGAAAAATGACAGCGAAAACTAAAAAGAAGAACTTTACGAGTTCAGAGATTGAAGTCCGTCTGTCAGAGATCCAGAAAAGAAAATCTGTCATTTTTAGCAGGTCAGCTGTGGAATAAAAAGAGCTGCTAAAAGTATAAACAACTGTGTTAAATCATTTTCATTTATTCAGAAGCCACAGCGCTGCGCACCGTACACACCCCCCCCCCACCACCACCACCCCCGGCGCGGTCGCAGGTGGTCTCAGATGCGGGTCTGAAATAAGCATTTTAAAATGTTTTCAAAATAAGTCTGGCACTTTGGAGAAAACCCAGGACTCGCTGGAGGGATTATGTATCCCCTCTGGCCTGGGAACGTCTCGGAGTCCCCCAGGACGAGCTGGAAAGTGTCGCTGGGGAGAGCGGGGTCTCTGCTGCTGCCCCCGCACACGATAGCGGATAAGCGGCGGAAAACAGACGAACAGACAATTTATATTGTTAGTCTAAATTATTACATTTAAAATTATAACTATAATTCAAGCAGAATAGCCTATTGTCAACATAAAGAAAAAAATTGTATAGGTCTTCTGGACGGGTTCTTCTTTAATGAAACGTTTCGTCTCTCCTCCAAGGGACTTCTTCAGTCTGAGAGTTTCAGGCAAAATTCAGGCTTTTAAGCCCTGCCTCCAGGTGACTAATACTCACATCACATGGCTATCGTTGACACCTAATTAACACCTATTGTTAACAGGGGGTGGAGTGATACTGTCAACATAATTATAGAGTGTGATTTATTTTCAACTCAAAATATCTTCAAACCAACGAAATATAAAGTTATTAGTGAAGAAAACCCGTCTGGATAACAGCAGACTGACTGTACGTAAAATAWACGACAGGTCTGGACCACTCGTGAATTTTGTTCGTATCTGAAAAAAATCTTAGAATACGAAAACATTGGTGAATGCCACAAATTCGCCAAAATCACTCGTACACACAACTTAAGAACAAATCTGTGCGAATGAACGGTTCTTGCATGAGGCCCAATGACTGAGACAGGTGGAACGGGGGATTGAACTGGCAACCTACGAGTTACGGGATGACCACCTAACATCTCCACCAGAGCCACCCCATAATATCGATAAATAAATGACTAAACCAAACATGTACATGTACTATTTATTTTTCCACAGTGCATTAGGAAGACATGACAGTTTAAAGAAAAAAAATTGTATAGGTCCTCTGGACGGGTTCTTCTTTAATGAAACGTTTCGTCTCTCCTCCAAGAGACTTCTTCAGTCTGAGAGTTTCAAGAGGACCTATACAATTTTTTTCCTTTTGATTCACTGACTTCCACAATGTTTTCTCTTCATTTCTTTGAGTGTTCCTGAAAGCCAACAGGTTGCACTTTGGAA